CCCCACGTGAGTCACCCACTTGGTCTACTCCACCACCCCCACGTGAGTCACCCACTTGGTCTACTCCACCACCCCCACGTGACTCACCCACTTGGTCTACTCCACCACCCCCACGTGAGTCCACCCCTTTGGTCTACTCCACCACCCCCCTGAGTCACCCACTTGGTCTACTCCACCACCCCCACGTGAGTCACCCACTTGGTCTCCTCCCCCACCCCCACTGAGTCACCCACTTGGTCTACTCCACCACCCCCACGTTCCCCCCTTGGTCTACTCCACCCCCACGTGAGTCACCCACTTGGTCTACTCCACCACCCCCACGTGAGTCACCCACTTGGTCTACTCCACCACCCCCACGTGAGTCACCCACTTGGTCTACTCCACCACCCCCACGTGAGTCACCCACTTGGTCTACTCCACCACCCCCACGTGAGTCACCCACTTGGTCTACTCCACCACCCCCACGTGAGTCACCCACTTGGTCTACTCCACCACCCCCACGTGAGTCACCCACTTGGTCTACTCCACCACCCCCACGTGAGTCACCCACTTGGTCTACTCCACCACCCCCACGTGAGTCACCCACTTGGTCTACTCCACCACCCCCACGTGAGTCACCCACTTGGTCTACTCCACCACCCCCACGTGAGTCACCCACTTGGTCTACTCCACCACCCCCACGTGAGTCACCCACTTGGTCTACTCCACCACCCCCACGTGAGTCACCCACTTGGTCTACTCCACCACCCCCACGTGAGTCACCCACTTGGTCTACTCCACCACCCCCACGTGAGTCACCCACTTGGTCTACTCCACCACCCCCACGTGAGTCACCCACTTGGTCTACTCCACCACCCCCACGTGAGTCACCCACTTGGTCTACTCCACCACCCCCACGTGAGTCACCCACTTGGTCTACTCCACCACCCCCACGTGAGTCACCCACTTGGTCTACTCCACCACCCCCACGTGAGTCACCCACTTGGTCTACTCCACCACCCCCACGTGAGTCACCCACTTGGTCTACTCCACCACCCCCACGTGAGTCACCCACTTGGTCTACTCCACCACCCCCACGTGAGTCACCCACTTGGTCTACTCCACCACCCCCACGTGAGTCACCCACTTGGTCTACTCCACCACCCCCACGTGAGTCACCCACTTGGTCTACTCCACCACCCCCACGTGAGTCACCCACTTGGTCTACTCCACCACCCCCACGTGAGTCACCCACTTGGTCTACTCCACCACCCCCACGTGAGTCACCCACTTGGTCTACTCCACCACCCCCACGTGAGTCACCCACTTGGTCTACTCCACCACCCCCACGTGAGTCACCCACTTGGTCTACTCCACCACCCCCACGTGAGTCACCCACTTGGTCTACTCCACCACCCCCACGTGAGTCACCCACTTGGTCTACTCCACCACCCCCACGTGAGTCACCCACTTGGTCTACTCCACCACCCCCCACGTGAGTCACCCACTTGGTCTACTCCACCACCCCCACGTGAGTCACCCACTTGGTCTACTCCACCACCCCCACGTGAGTCACCCACTTGGTCTACTCCACCACCCCCACGTGAGTCACCCACTTGGTCTACTCCACCACCCCCACGTGAGTCACCCACTTGGTCTACTCCACCACCCCCACGTGAGTCACCCACTTGGTCTACTCCACCACCCCCACGTGAGTCACCCACTTGGTCTACTCCACCACCCCCACGTGAGTCACCCACTTGGTCTACTCCACCACCCCCACGTGAGTCACCCACTTGGTCTACTCCACCACCCCCACGTGAGTCACCCACTTGGTCTACTCCACCACCCCCACGTGAGTCACCCACTTGTCTACTCCACCACCCCCACGTGAGTCACCCACTTGGTCTACTCCACCACCCCCACGTGAGTCACCCACTTGGTCTACTCCACCACCCCCACGTGAGTCACCCACTTGGTCTACTCCACCACCCCCACGTGAGTCACCCACTTGGTCTACTCCACCACCCCCACGTGACTCTCCCACTTGGTCTACTCCACCACCCCCACGTGAGTCACCCACTTGGTCTACTCCACCACCCCCACGTGACTCTCCCACTTGGTCTACTCCACCACCCCACGTGACTCTCCCACTTGGTCTACTCCACCACCCCCACGTGACTCACCCACTTGGTCTACTCCACCACCCCCACGTGACCCTCCCACTTGGTCTACTCCACCACCCCCACGTGAGCTCACCCACTTGGTCTACTCCACCACCCCCACGTGACTCACCCACTTGGTCTACTCCACCACCCCCACGTGAGTCACCCACTTGGTCTACTCCACCACCCCCACGTCAGTCACCCACTTGGTCTACTCCACCACCCCCACGTGAGTCACCCACTTGGTCTACTCCACCACCCCCACGTCAGTCACCCACTTGGTCTACTCCACCACCCCCACGTGAGTCACCCACTTGGTCTACTCCACCACCCCCCACGTGAGTCACCCACTTGGTCTACTCCACCACCCCCACGTGAGTCACCCACTTGGTCTACTCCACCACCCCACGTGACTCTCCACTTGGTCTACTCCACCACCCCCACGTGAGTCACCCACTTGGTCTACTCCACCACCCCCACGTGACTCTCCCACTTGGTCTACTCCACCACCCCCACGTGACTCACCCACTTGGTCTACTCCACCACCCCCACGTGACCCTCCCACTTGGTCTACTCCACCACCCCCACGTGAGTCACCCACTTGGTCTACTCCACCACCCCCACGTGACTCACCCACTTGGTCTACTCCACCACCCCCACGTGAGTCACCCACTTGGTCTACTCCACCACCCCCACGTGACCCTCCCACTTGGTCTACTCCACCACCCCCACGTGAGTCACCCACTTGGACTGCTCCACCCCCCCCCCCCCACGTGACCCTCCCACGTGATCTCGCCCGCCCATTCACAGCGGACCTCCGGCATCTTCTAGAAGTGTCGACGTTTCAACCTCCCCCCCCTTCCTCAGGCGTCCGCCGCCCCCCAAACCGAACACGAGCCCCCCCCCCGCCCCCCGAGGTACTCATCCAGCAGTGGAGACGTCCCCCCCCTCCCTCGCGAACTCACCACGCTGAGGCCTGCTAGTCGAGCTCGAGTCGTGTGGAGGCCGTTTGACCATACTTCACCTATTAGTGTAGCGTGTAGTGTAGTAGTGTGTAGTGTAGTGTGTGTAGTAGTGTGTGTGTGTGTAGTGTAGTGTGTGTAGTAGTGTGTTGTAGTGTGTGTGTAGTGTAGCGTGTAGTGTAGTGTGTGTATAGTGTAGCGTGTAGTGTAGTGTGTGTAGTGTAGCGTGTAGTGTAGTGTAGTGTGTGTAGTAGTGTGTTGTAGTGTGTGTGTAGTGTAGCGTGTAGTGTAGTGTGTGTAGTGTAGTAGTGTAGTGTAGCGTGTAGTGTAGTGTAGTAGTAGTGTATAGTAGTGTAGCGTGTAGTGTAGTAATGTATAGTAGTGTAGCGTGTAGTGTAGTAGTGTATAGTAGTGTAGTGTAGTGTGTAGTAGTGTGTAATGTGTGTAGTAGTGTAGCGTGTAGTGTGTGTAGTGGTGTGTATAGTAGTGTGTGTAGTGTGTATAGTGGTGTAGTGTGTATAGTGCGTGTAGTAGTGTAGTGTGTAGTGTAGTAATGTAGTGTGTGTATTAGTGTGTGTGTATAGTGTGTGTAGTGGTGTAGTGTGTATAGTAGTGTAGTGTAGTAATGTGTGTGTAGTATAGTAGTGTAGTATAGTAGTGTAGTATAGTAGTGTAGTGGTGTAGTGTGTATAGTGTGTGTAGTAGTGTAGTGTGTATAGTAGTGTAGTGTGTATAGTAGTGTAGTGTGTATAGTGTGTATAGTGTGTGTAGTAGTGTAGTGTGTATAGTGTGTATAGTAGTGTACTGTGTATAGTAGTGTAGTGTGTAGTGTAGTAATGTGTGTGTAGTATAGTAGTGTAGTGTGTATAGTAGTGTGTATAGTAGTGTGTGTAGTGTGTATAGTAGTGTGTGTGTATAGTGTGTGTAGTAGTGTAGTGTGTATAGTAGTGTAGTGTGTGTAGTGGTGTAGCGTGTATAGTAGTGTAGTGTGTGTAGTGGTGTAGTGTGTATATTGGTGTAGTGTGTATAGTGATGTAGTGTGTATATTGGTGTAGTGTGTATAGTGGTGTAGTGTGTGTAGTGGTGTAGTGTGTATAGTGGTGTAGTGTGTATAGTGGTGTAGCGTGTATAGTGGGGTAGTGTGTATAGTAGTGTAGTGTGTATAGTGGTGTAGTGTGTATAGTGGTGTAATGTGTGTAGTGTGTATAGTGGTGTAGCGTGTATAGTGGGGTAGTGTGTATAGTAGTGTAGTGTGTATAGTGGTGTAGTGTGTATAGTGGTGTAGTGTGTATAGTGGTGTAGTGTGTGTAGTGTGTATAGTGGTGTAGTGTGTATAGTAGTGTAGTGTGTGTAGTGGTGTAATGTGTATAGTGGGGTAGTGTGTATAGTGGTGTAGTGTGTATAGTGGTGTAGTGTGTAAATATTGTGGATTCACTCCTCATCACACCGGTGTGGGCTAAAGTAGCGAACTATTTTGTCTTTTGTCAACGTGACACATTTTTTACTGATCTGCCGTGTCGGGTGGTTGAGGGTTGCGACGCATTTTATACATAACGCGATCTCAGCCCAAAGCCTTCATAATGAATGATGATGATGGCGATGATTATGACGATGACGACGATGATGGTGATGACGATGACGTTGATGATGACGTTGATGACGACGTTGATGGTGATGACGATGACGATGATGACGTTGATGACGTTGATGATGACGACGATGATGACGACGATGATGATGATGACGTTGATGACGACGTTGATGGTGATGACGATGACGATGATGACGTTGATGACGTTGATGATGACGACGATGATGACGACGATGATGATGACGACGACGATGATGATGGTGATGATGAAGATGGTGATGACGTTGATGACGTTGATGATGACGTTGATGACGTTGACGATGACGATGATAACGATGACGATGATAACGATGACGATGATGACATTGATGATGACGACGATGATGACGACGTTGATGACGATGATGATGACGATGATAATGACGATGATAATGATGACGATGATGACGATGATAACGATGACGATGATGAAGACGACGACGATGATGATGACGATGATGATGGTGATGACGATGATGATGACGACGATGATGATGACGACGACGATGATGATGGTGATGATGACGATGGTGATGACGTTGATGATGACGTTGATGACGATGATGATAACAATGATAACGATGACAATGATGATGATGACAATGATGATGATGACAATGATGATGATGGCAGCTGACGGAGGCCGCTGCCTCCATGCTTGTCGCCGTGTCTGTGTCGGCAGTCGGGAGGAGCAAGTTGGTGGTGGTGGTGCTGGTGGTGCTGGTGGTGCTGGTTGTGCTGGTGGTGGTGGTTGTGTTGGTGGTGGTGCTGGTGGTGGTGGTGAGGCCGTCATGGCGTGCTCGGGAGCGGCCCCCGTGGCCGACACGTCGGAGGCCGTGTCGCTGTGCCCCGAGCTGGGACTCTTCCTGAAGCCCGTGGGGCGCATCGTGGTGGTGGTGTCACTGCCGCACCTCAAGACGCCCGGGCAGGTCATCTCCAACTAGGAGGTGGGTCTGTGTGTGTGTGTGTGTCTGTGTCATCTCGGTCATCTCGGTCAGTCGACCCGTGGCACCTGGGTCTGCCCCGTGACCTCCTGCCAGCGGGCGTTCGACACTTCACGTGGCCTCAAGGTGCACTTGGCCTGGCACAAGCGTCGTGGTGACGTCACCGCCACTTAGTGGCGAATGGCAGTTGTTGTTGTTGTGTGTCTGTGTGTGTGTGTCTGTGTGTGTGTCTGTCTGTGTGTGTCTAAGTGTGCGTGTGTCTCTGTGTGTAGGTGATGGAGAGGCTCAAGGCGATGGCTCTGCCCGACGACTTCTCGGTGCTGCGCGTCGCCAAGAGCTCGCTGGAGGTGCTGCGCTTCGAGGGCGAGGTGGAGACTCGCGCCGCCGTCCACGCACTCGCATCGCGCATCGACGGCAAGAACATCAAGCTCAGCGGCTTCACAGAGACACTCAAGGTACACGCACACAGACACCCAGACACACACAGACACACACTCACACCCACACAGACACACACACAAACAGCCACACACAGACACACACAGACACACACACACAGACACACACACACAGCCACACACAGAGACACACACACAGACACACACACAGACACACACACACAGACACACACACACAGACACACACACACACACAGATACACACACAGACACACACACAGACACACACACACAGACACACACACACAGACACACACACACACACAGATACACACACACACAGAGACACACATACACACACACAGAGACACACACACAGAGACACACAGACACACACACACAGACACACACACACACACAGACACACACACACAGACACACAGACACAGACACACACACAGAGACACACACACACACAGACACACAGACACACCCACAGACACACCCACAGACACACACACACAGACACACAGACACACACACACACCCACAGACACACACAGACACACACACACAGACACAGAGACACACACAGACACACACACACAGAGACACACACACAGACACACAGACACCCCCCCACACACCCCCACTCACACCTCCCCACCACGTCACGTCACCCCCCCCCCCCCCCCCCCCCCAGGTGCGAGCGTCCGCTGCGAGGGACGACTTCCCGACGCGTCCCGACTGGGAGTCGTTCTTCCGCGGGGCGAGCGACATGGACGAGCGGGTGGCGGGCGAGCGCCCAGACACACTCCACCTGCAGGGGCTGCCCTGCAGGTGGTTCGCAGAGCCCGGCGCAGCCGACCGTGAGTCCACCAACACCACCAACAACAACAACAACAACACCACCAACAACAACAACACCAACAACACCAACAACAACACCACCACCAACACCACCAACACCACCAACAACAACACCACCACCACCAACACCACCACCAACACCAACACCACCAACAACAACAACACCACCACCAACACCACCAACACCAACACCACCAACAACAACACCACCAACACCACCACCAACACCAACACCACCACCAACAACACCACCAACACCAACAACACCACCGTCACCACCGCCACCACCGTCACCACCACCACCGTCACCACCACCGTCACCACCACCACCACCATCACCACCAACACCGTCACCACCACCACCGTCACCACCACCGTCACCACCACCACCACCACCGTCACCACCACCACCGTCACCACCACCGTCACCACCACCGTCGCCACCGTCACCGTCGCCACCACCACCGCCGTCACCACCACCACCGTCACCACCGTCACCACCATCACCACCACCACCGTCACCGTCGCCACCACCACCGTCACCACCACCACCACCGTCACCACCACCACCGTCACCACCACCACCGTCGCCACCACCACCACCGTCGCCACCACCACCACCGCCGTCACCATTACGCCACCACCACCGTCACCACCGTCACCACCACCACCGTCACCACCACCGTCACCACCACCGTCACCACCACCACCGTCACCACCACCGTCACCATCACCACCATCACCGTCACCGTCGCCACCACCACCACCACCGTCACCACCACCGTCACCACCACCGTCACCACCACAGCCACCACCATCACCACCACAGCCACCACCACCACCATCACCACCACCACCACGAGTGGTGAGTGAGTGAGTGGGTGGGTGAGTGAGTGAGTGAGTGCGTGAGTGAGTGAGTGGGTGAGTGAGTGGGTGAGTGGGTGAGTGAGTGGGTGAGTGGGTGAGTGCGTGAGTGAGTGGGTGAGTGAGTGAGTGGGTGAGTGTGTGTGTGAGTGAGTGAGTGGGTGAGTGAGTGAGTGAGCGTCTCTCTCCCTCTGCGTGTAGTTGACCGCCCAAGCGAGTCTGTGCTACGCCGTGCGCTCTCCGTGTTCGGGGCGGTGCGTGAGTGAGTGGGTGAGTGAGTGAGTGAGTGGGTGAGTGACTGGGTGAGTGACTGGGTGAGTGAGTGGGTGAGTGAGTGGGTGAGTGGGTGAGTGGGTGAGTGGGTGAGTGTCTCTCTCTCTCTGCGTGTAGCTGACCGCCCGAGCGAGGCTGTGCTACGCCGTGCGCTCTCCGTGTTTGGTGCGGTACGTGAGTGAGTGGGTGAGTGAGTGAGTGGGTGAGTGAGTGGGTGAGTGAGTGGGTGAGTGAGTGGGTGAGTGAGTGAGTGGGTGAGTGGGTGAGTGAGTGTCTCTCTCTCTCTGCGTGTAGCTGATCGCCCGAGTGAGGCTGTGCTACGCCGTGCGCTCTCCGTGTTTGGTGCGGTGCGAGCCGCTGACGTGCCGTGCCTGGACCCGCACCGCGAGGAGGTGGAGCGGCGCCTTTCCGGCAAGGAGTTCCACTCCTTCGGGTACGGCGGGAGACTTCACTTCCAGGTGCCCGCTCGCTCACTCACTCACACTCACCCACCCGCTCACTCACACTCGCCCGCTCACGCACTCACCCACCCGCTCGCTCACACTCACCCACTCACTCACACTCGCCCGCTCACGCACTCACCCACCCGCTCGCTCACACTCACCCACTCACTCACACCCACCCGCTCACGCACACTCACCCACTCACTCGCTCACACTCACCCACCCACCCGCTCGCTCACGCACTCGCTCACTCACTCGCTCACGCACTCGCTCACTCACTCGCTCACTCACTCACTCACTCGCTCACTCACTCGCTCACTCACTCGCCCGCTCATGCACTCACTCACTCGCTCACTCACCCGCTCACTCACACGCACTCACTCACTCACTTACACTCGCTCACTCACTCACTCACCCGCTCACTCACACACTCGCCCACTCATACTCACTCGCGCTCGCTCGCTCACCCGCCCGCTCACTCACTCACCCGCTCACGCTCACCCACACTCGCTCACTCACACTCACCCACCCACCTGCTCACACTCACTCACTCACTCACCCACCCACCCGCTCACACTCACGCACTCACCCACCCACCCACTCACTCACTCACACTCACCCACCCACCTGCTCACACTCCCTCACTCACTCACCCACCCACTCACTCACCCACCCACCCGCTCACACTTACGTACTCACCCACCCGCTCACTCACGCGCTCACTTACACTCACTCGCTCGCTCACTCACCCACCCAACCGCTTACTCACACTCACTCACTCACACTCACCCACCCACTCGTTCACTCACTCGCCCACCCGTTCACTCACGCACTCACTCACCCACCCACCCACCTGCTCACTCGCCCACCCACACGCTCACTCACTCACTCTCCCGCCCGCTCGCTCACGCACTCGCCTACCCGCTCAACCGCATGCACACCCACCCGCTCACCCGCTCACTCACCCATCCACCCGCTCACTCACTCTCACCTACCCACCTGCTCACTCACCCACCCACCCGCTCACTCACCCACCCGCTCACTCACCCACCCACCCGCTCACTCACACATTTGCCCGCCCGCCCGCTCACGCGCACACTTGCCCACCCGCTCAACCGCATACGCACTCACCCGCCCGCTCACTCACTCACCTACTCGCCCACTCACTCCCCGGCTCGCTCACCCAATCGCGCACTCGCACATTCACCCACCCATCCACCAACTCACTCACTCACACTTCTTTACCCTCACGCGGTTGCCGCGTGCTTGCAGGCGTACGTGCAGTACGAGCAGTACTGCGACTTTGAGCGAGCGATGGGCGCCCTGCGCGGAGTGAAGCTCATGCACACGGCAGGAGGCAAGGCCCTGGCCTGCAACATCAAGGTGAGCACGGGGGGCAGCCGGGAACCTCCTCAGCCGGTAAACTCCTCATCATCGTGATGATGATGAGAGAGACACAGACCCCACAGATACAGCAGCAGCAGGCATCGTCAGCGTCGGGATCGAACCCACGACTTCCTGCAGACCAGGCGAGGTTGTTAACACCCCCTTGATGGTGATGATGATGAGAGAGAGACGCAGACTCCACATAGACCTCCTGTGTACCAGGCGAGGTAGTTAACATCTCCTAGCCACCGTGATGATGATGAGAGAGAGACGCAGACTCCACATAGACCTCCTGTGTACCAGGCGAGGTAGTCAACATCTCCCAGTCACCGTGATGATGATGAAAGAGAGACGCAGACTGCAAATATAAGCAGACTCCAAATATACAGCAGCAGCAGCAGGCATCGTCAGGGTCGGGATCGAACCCACGACCTCCTGTGTACCAGGCGAGGTAGTTAACATCTCCTAGCCACCGTGATGATGATGAGAGAGAGACGCAGACTCCAAATATACAGAAGCAGCAGCAGGCATCGTCAGGGTCGGGATATAACCCACGACCTCCTGCGTACCAGGCGAGGTAGTCAACATCTCTCAGTGTCTGGGATTGAACCCACGACCTCCTGTGTACCAGGCGAGGTAGTCAACATCTCTCAGGGTCTGGGATTGAACCCACGACCTCCTGTGTACCAGGCGAGGTAGTCAACATCTCTCAGGGTCTGGGATTGAACCCACGACCTCCTGTGTACCATGTACCAGCCGAGGTAGTCGACATCTCCCAGCCACCGTGATGATGATGAGAGAGACACGCAAACTCCAAATAGCAGCAGCAGCAGGCATCGTCAGGGTCGGGATCTAACCCACGACCTCCTGCGTACCAGGCGAGGTAGTCAACATCTCCGAGGGGGTGGAGTTTGACCCCTGGAAGTGAAACTCCCCCGCCCCCCCCCCCCCGCCAGGTGACCTTTGACACGACGAAGCACCTGAGTGACGCCAGCGTGCGCCGCCGCGAGTCGGAGCGGCAGAAGATCCGCGAGGCGGAGCGGCAGCGGCAGGCGGAGCGGCAGCGCCTGCTGCAGCAGGAGCAGGAGAGCGCGCAGCAGGAGAGGTGAGTAGCAACAACAACAACAACACCGACAACACCAACAACAACAACACTGACACCAACAACAACAACACCAACACTGACACCAACAACAACAACAACACCACCACCAACAACACCACCGACACCACCACCACCACCGACACCACTGACACCACCACCAACACCACCACCAACACCACCACCAACACCACCACCAACACCACCAACCGACACCACCACCACCGACACCACCACCACTACCGACACCACCAACACCACCAACACCATCACCACCACCAACACCACCACCAACACCACCAACCGACACCACCACCAGCGTCGCCACCGTCACCACCAACACCATCACCAACACCACCACCGACACCGACACCACCGACACCACCACCGACACCACCACCAACACCACCAACACCACCACCACCGACACCACCACCGACACCACCAACACCACCAACACCACCAACACCACCACCAACACCACCACCAACACCACCAACCGACACCACCGACACCACCACCACTACCGACACCACCAACACCATCACCAACACCAACACCACCACCAACACCACCAACCGACACCACCACCACCGTCACCACCGCCACCGTCACCACCAACACCATCACCAACACCACCACCGACACCACCACCACAGTCACCACCAACACCAACACCACCACCACCGACACCGTCACCACCGTCACCACCAACACCACCACCAACACCACCAACACCATCACCAACACCACCATCACCACTGCCACCGTCACCACCAACACCACCACCACCAACACCACCACCACGAACACCACTGACACCACCAACACCACCACCAACACCACCAACACCATCATCAACACCACCAACACCATCACCACCACCAACACCACTGCCACCACCACTGCCACCAAAACCGCCACCACCACCACTGCCACCAAAACCGCCACCACCACCACTACCACCACTGCCTCCATCGTGACGACGCTGGCCCCACCACTGATGATGACACTGACGACGATGACGACAATACTGACGGTGATGACGATGATGACGATGATGACATGAGACTGACGGTGATGACACTGACAATGATAGTGACGACGATGATGATGATGACGATGATGACGACGACGTGGACCGGACACCCCCAGGTAACGATCGACCCCTCCCCCCCCCCCTGCAGCTTGCGCCGAGTAGCGGAGGAGCGTCTGCGCCGCGAGCGCCGTGAGCAGCGTGAGCGCGACCGCCGCCAGCGCCAGCTGCTGCGCACGCAGCGCCGCGGGCTGCGGCGGGAGCGCCGGCGGCAGCAGCAGCAGCAGCGCGGACTCCTGCTGCGCGTGAAGCGGGAGGAGCGCCAGCTGCTGCTGGCCCAGCGGCGCCTTCACGCCGTGCGCCTGCTGCGCCACCTGCTGGGACGCACGCAGGTGGGGGGGCCACTCAGTCACTCACTCAGTCACTCACTCACTCAGCTACTCACTCATTCGCTCACTCAGTCAGTCACTCAGTCAGTCACTCAGCCACTCAGCCACTCACTCAGTCAGTCAGCCACTCACCCAGCCACTCACCCACTCACTCAGTCACTCGCTCAGCCACTCACTCAGTCACTCGCTCAGCCACTCACTCAGCCACTCACTCACTCAGCCACTCACTCAGCCACTCACTCACTCACTCAGCCACTCAGCCACTCACTCAGTCACTCACTCACTCACTCAGCCACTCACTCAGCCACTCACTCACTCAGCCACTCACTCAGCCACTCACTAACTCAGCCACTCACTCACTCAGCCACTCACTCAGCCGGTCACTCAGCCACTCACTCACTCAGCCACTCACTCAATCGGCCACTCGCTCAGCCACTCACTCACTCAGCCACTCACTCAGCCACTCACTCGGCCACTCACTCAGCCACTCACTCGGCCACTCACTCAGCCACGCAGCCACTCACTCAGCCGCTCACTCAGCCGCTCACTCACTCACTCACTCGGCCACTCACTCAGCCACTCACTCAGCCACTCACTCACTCACTCGGCCACTCACTCAGCCACTCACTCAGCCACTCACTCAGCTACTCACTCAGCCACTCACTCAGCCACCTACTCAGCCGGTCACTCACTCAGCCACTCACTCGGCCACTCACTCAGCCGGTCACTCACTCAGCCACTCACTCACTCAGCCACTCACTCAGCCGCTCACTCAGCCGCTCACTCAGCCGCTCACTCAGCCGCTCACTCAACCACTCACTCAGCCGCTCACTCAGCCATTCACTCAGCCGCTCACTCAGCCACTCACTCACTCAACCACTCACTCAGCCGCTCACTCAGCCACTCACTCAGCCACTCACTCACTCAACCACTCACTCAGCCACTCACTCACTCACTCAGCCACTCACTCAGCCACTCACTCACTCACTCAGCCACTCACTCAGCCACTCACTCACTCAGCCACTCACTCAGCCACTCACTCAGCCACTCACTCACTCAACCACTCACTCAGCCACTCACTCACTCACTCAGCCACTCACTCAGCCACTCACTCACTCACTCAGCCACTCGCTCACTCACCCGCTCACTCACCCGCTCACTCAACTGCCCAATGAACCGCTCACTCAACTTGTCAACTGCTCGCTCAACCACTCAACTGCTCCCCCAATCGCTCACTTAATTATCTACTCAACCACTCAACTGCTCCCCAAATCGCTCACTTAATTATCCACTCAACTGCTCCCCCAATCGCTCACTTAATTATCCACTCAACCACTCAACTGCTCCCCCAATCGCTCACTTAATCATCCACTCAACCACTCAACTGCTCCCCCAATCGCTCACTTAATTATCCACTCAACCACTCAACTGCTCCCCCAATCGCTAACTTAATTATCCACTCAACCACTCAACTGCTCCCCCAATCGCTCACTTAATTATCCACTCAACCACTCAACTGCTCCCCCAATCGCTCACTTAATTATCCACTCAACCACTCAACTGCTCCCCCAATCGCTCACTTAATTATCCACTCAACCACTCAACTGCTCCCCCAATCGCTCACTTAATTATCCACTCAACCACTCAACTGCTCCCCCAATCGCTCACTTAATCATCCACTCAACCACTCAACTGCTCCCCCAATCGCTAACTTAATTATCCACTCAACCACTCAACTGCTCCCCCAATCGCTAACTTAATTATCCACTCAACCACTCAACTGCTCCCCCAATCGCTCACTTAATCATCTACTCAACCACTCAACTGCTCCCCCAATCGCTCACTTAATCATCCACTCAACCACTCAACTGCTCCCCCAATCGCTCACTTAATTATCCACTCAACCACTCAACTGCTCCCCCAATCGCTCACTTAATCATCTACTCAACCACTCAACTGCTCCCCCAATCGCTCACTTAATTATCCACTCAACCACTCAACTGCTCCCCCAATCGCTCACTTAATTATCCACTCAACCACTCAACTGCTCCCCCAATCGCTCACTTAATCATCCACTCAACCACTCAACTGCTCCCCCAATCGCTCACTTAATTATCCACTCAACCACTCAACTGCTCCCCCAATCGCTCACTTAATTATCCACTAAACCACTCAACTGCTCCCCCAATCGCTCACTTAATTATCCACTCAACCACTCAACTGCTCCCCCCCCCCCCGCCCCCCCCCCTGCTCCCCCCCGCCCCCCCCCTCCACCCCCGTCCTCACCCCCCCCCCTTGCCCCCCCCCTCCCCCCTGCCCCACCCCGCCCCCCCCTGCCCCTCCCCCCCCCAGGTGGAGCTGCAGCGTCGTGACGAGGAGCAGCGGCAGCGCGAGGCCCACGAGCGCCGCCTCCTTGCGCTGGCGGAGGAGCGCCGTTGCCAAGGCGACGAGCTGCGTCGCCGGGAGCGACGCCTGCGCCGCCGCCTCCTCCGCGCCCTCGAGCGGCGCCGCCTCCTCGACGACGAGCGCCGTTGCCGTGACGACGAGCGCCGGCGGGAGGAGAAGCGCCGCGGCCTCGTGGCCACGAGGCTCCGGTCGGCCGTGGTGCCCCGCGGGGGCGGGGGGGGAGGGGCTCCGGCGGGGGGCGGGGCCGGGGGGGTGGGGGGGGCGAGATGGGGTCGTCGTCGCCGGGGTCGTCGCCGGGGCCGCCGCCGCCGCCGCCGCCACGGCGACGGTCGTCGGGGAGGAAGAGGAGGCGGTCGCCGGGCCGGTTTCTAGGGCGGTCGCCGGGGAGGTGGGCCGATCGCCGTGGCGACAGGAGGTGACGGAGCGGGGGGGGGGCAGGGGGGGGGTGGCGGGGGGGTGGCGGGGGGGGGGGGGGGGGGTGACGTAGCGTTGTCGTCGTCGTGGTGACGCGACGGGAAGTTGTGGTCCCCGTCGCCGCGGGTGACGTGGTTTGTCGTGACTTTTAATAAAGTGGAAACATTCTGAGGGGCGCCGAGTTGTCGTCGCGCTTCACCAACCCACGCGGTACCGAGATGACTGGCTGATGCACCACCTGTGCCCCCTACTTGCTGTGCTTTAGCCACCCGGCGCTCCGCTCGTTGTTGTGAGCGTCGCTCCTCCGCCCTCCGTTGTTATTGGAGGGCGACTGCCTCCAACTGCCCAGTAGCGTACTTCACGAGCCTCCTCCACTGAGGCCGATCTTGACACCGCTGGTACCAGTCATCGGCAAATCCACTCAGCTCCACGTCCTCCTATACCACATGACTCCATCTCTTCTCTAGTCCGTGCCACGCCTATTCTTGGGTCTCCCGGTAAAGTCACGTAGATGGGTTCAAAGAAAATAAAAATCGACGACGTTTCTATAGCAATACAAGCAATCCTCATCAGGAGAAAAACGAGCGGGAAAGCTGCTGAGGCAGGATGTTTTCAAGGTTTGAAATGTGTGGAGCCCAAGGGTCATAAGGGACGTGGGCGGGCCTAGTGATGTTCAAGTGAGAGATTAGCATGTCAATGTAAGAGATTAGCATGTCAATGTAAGAGATTAGCATGTCAATGTAAGAGATTAGCATGTCAATGTAAGAGATTAGCATGTCAATGTAAGAGATTAGCATGTCAATGTAAGAGATTAGCATGTCAATGTAAGAGATTAGCATGTCAATGTAAGAGATTAGCATGTCAATGTAAGAGATTAGCATGTCAATGTAAGAGATTAGCATGTCAATGTAAGAGATTAGCATGTCAATGTAAGAGATTAGCATGTCAATGTAAGAGATTAGCATGTCAATGTAAGAGATTAGCATGTCAATGTAAGGTCGTGAGACGTTTAACCTGTTAATGTAAAACCAGAGAGTCGAAAATAACTGAATTCCCTCATCAAAACTCTGCACCACAGAGCTCCATGTATTTGTGTCCACCACCTCGCCAGTGAACTGGAGCACGTACACCAAGCCCTCAAGATAAATGGATATTCAGACCACACAATCCATAAAGCCATCACCCCAACCGTTGACGAAGAACCATCTGAGGACCCAATCAAACCCATCACCTTGCCATACGTAGCAGGAGTCCCCAAAAATATTTCCAAAATCATGACCAAACAAAATCCAGGTTCAGGTTAACACAGTGCAGAAAATTAATGATCCGATCCTATCTGTGAAGGATGTGATCTCTGACATGCAACACCCCGGCGTCTACAAACTCAGCTGTGTCTGTGGCAGCAATTACATTGGGGAAACTAAGCGACATGTCTCGGATCGGTTTCGTGAACACAAGGCAGATGTGAAACACGGCAAGACCAGTACCTCGGCCGTGGCTGATCAGTACTTTAAAGTGGCTGGCTTACATGAAATTGATTTCTCCAAGACGAAGGTACTTTGCAAGCCCACTGGCTATCAACAAAGATTCGTTCGTGAAGCCATCCATATTTATAGACACAGACACTTTAAATGTCTTTACATTAACTGGTGAAATGTCTCACATTAACAGGTTAAATGTCTCACACTAACAGGTTAAATGTCCTTACATTGACATGCTAATCTCTTACATTGACATGCTAATCTCTTACATTGACATGCTAATCTCTCACTTTGACATGCTAATCTCTTACATTGACATGCTAATCTCTTACATTGACATGCTAATCTCTTACATTGACATGCTAATCTCTCACTTTGACATGCTAATCTCTTACATTGACATGCTAATCTTTTACATTAACATGCTAATCTCTTACATTGACATGCTAATCTCTCACTTTGACATGCTAATCTCTTACATTGACATGCTAATCTCTTACATTGACATGCCAATCTCTTACATTGACATGCTAATCTCTTACATTGACATGCTAATCTCTCACTTTGACATGCTAATCTCTTACATTGACATGCTAATCTCTTACATTGACATGCTAATCTCTTACATTGACATGCTAATCTCTCACTTTGACATGCTAATCTCTTACATTGACATGCTAATCTCTTACATTGACATGCTAATCTCTTACATTGTCATGCTAATCTCTCACTTTAACGTCACTAGGCCCGCCCACATCGCTTATGACCCTTGAGCTACACACATTTCAAACCTATAAAACATCCTGCCTCAGCAGCTTTCCAGCAAATTTTTCTCCTGATGATTGCTTGTGTTGCTGTAGAAACGTAGATTTTAGCTTTTTATTTGAACCCATTTACGTGACTTTATGGGAAAACCCAAGAATATTGATTCCTGCAGTCACGAAGCTTTAAGTCAAAATGCCGCATCCGTTTAGCCCCCTCTATCCGGGCCAAACAAAAGCTGCTTAGGCATGCGGTGGCTGGCCATGCGGGCTACATGGCCCAGCCAACGCAGCCTTGCCCGCCGGAGAAGCTCACCGATGGGACTTTGCCCAGATCTTTCAAGGATTTGTGAGCTTCTCACACAATCCAGCCTGGTTAAACCCAGGATGGATCGTAGGCAGGCCAGCCTAATGTTTCTAACCGGCGCAGATGCTCCATTAGGGGGGTCCACGTTTCGCAAGCGTAGAGAAGGGAGGGAATGACCGTGGCCGAGAAGACCTGAAGCTTCGTGTGGAGCGACAGACCAGATAGATTCCACACAGCGTTACGCAACCGATGAAAATATATTGCTGCTCGACTGAATCGGATGGGGTGACTACCCCTCTGGTGACTTCTTCCTCCAATATTTGAGGCACCGCAGCCTCAGCAGGGTCATCCCCACTTTGCCCCATGATGTTTTCCAGGTTGAGGGATTTCCCCTCCCCCAAGATCTCACAGAAATGCTCAGCAAATCTGAAACTTGTTCCTGGGGGTTGGAGAGATTGGATCACATTTCTTTCCCCTAATGATGGTAATAGGTGTGGCCCTGCAAGTTACTTTTTTGATGAAACTAAAGAGTGATTTGTGATCGCGAGCTACTGAGGCAGACTCCATCTCAGCAACCAGCGACCACCACTCATCCTTGCAGCGCCTCACGGCTCTCCGAACCTCCAGCGAAGGCTGCGGAAAGCCTCCTCATTCTCCAGCGTGGGATGCTGTAGACGATGAGAGTGGGCCTGTCGCTTTTTCTCAGCCAACCTCAACACCTCCTGTCAGCCAGGGTATCTGGGGAGGTCTGGACCGCGTACCCCAAGCAGCCATTGCAGCTGCATGAGCCACAGTCCTAAACCTCGCCCATTTCCCTTCGACATCGGGAGGAGTGGGGGACGATGTCCATCCCAGCCGCAAGCGACGATGGAGTTCTCGCTTGCGACTGTCACCAGGGACGTGCGGTCACGGGAGGCAGAGCCTCACCTGACAAACTCCAATGAAAATGGCCGTTACGAAAAGTAAATAGTAAAATAAATATTAAGACTTTCCCACTGGTCTGTGTTATAAATGTCTCACTTCTACACGATTCCAATACATTGTTAGAGTCAAAATCGCCAAATCTGCGGAGCTCTACTGCAAATACAGGTGAGGCAGCGACGAGCTCAGCCTCCCCTCTGATTGCGCAACCCCTCATTAACTGGATGGAGCGCGGGCAATCAGCGCGTGCCTGTTACTATCTCAGTGTGTCACCAATGTAATGTTTGTAGACCCCTTCATTTCGTGTCCTCGCCTTCCATACTCCAGGTAACTTATTTCACGTATCTATATATATAAAATCGTTCATGTCTGTCTGTCTGTGTGTGTGTGGACTTTGGCCCATACGCACTTTCATTGGACGGCGGTTGCCCCTGGCAACGGCTAGCCACGCCTTCGCCGCTTTCATTGGACCTGGCAACGGCTAGCCACGCCTTCGCCAAGGGCTGCAGTTTCATTGGACGGCGGTTGCCCCTGCCAACGGCTAGCCACGCCTTCGCCACTTTCATAAGCTCCGTATTTAATTAAATAATAGCCATTACACAGTATTGTTGGAGCGCTAGGGGGGGGGGGGGAAGGAACGCCACCCGTACCCTGCCTTTTCCAAGCCGACAATTTTAGGCGAGGCCGCAGGCTTTGCACGCATGTGTATGTGTGTTTGTGTTTATGTGTATGTCTGTGTGTCTCTATGTATGTGTGTATGTATGTGTATGTATGTGTTTGTGTGTATGTGTGTGTGTATGTATGTGGGTTTTTTTTTATGTCTTTATGTGTATGTCTGCATGTCTCTATGTATGTGTGTATGTACGTGTGTGCATGTGTTTGTGTGTATGTATGTGTGTGTCTATGTATGTGTGTGTATGTGTTTCTGTGTATGTATGTGTGTGTATGTATGTGTGTTACGTGTCTGTCTGTGTGTCTGCATGTATGTGTGTGTGTATTGTGTATGTGTTTGTGTGCATGTATGTGTGTGTTTGTGTGTATGTGTATGTCTGTGTGTTTGTATGTGTGTGTATGTGTTTGTGTGTATGTGTGTGTATGTATGTGTGTGTATGTGTTTGTATGTGTTTGTGTGTTTACGCTCGCATTACACAAATGTGTTGCTGGTCTAAGGCGTTCCTCGCACAGCATTGCCGCTTTATTATTTCAGTCGTTAACTGCCTTACGCACCCTGAAAGTCGTGTGTGTCTGCAGCAAGCGCGTGTATGTGTACCTATGGACGCGCGCGCGTGTGTTGTGTAGGGGGAACGGTAGTGTAGTGCTTAGCGTGCTGTCTGTGTGTGTGTC